TATATATACTACTACTATATATATATATATATATATATATATAAGTACATATACATTTATACATACATACATATACATATATATATATATTAATATATATATAGATATATATATAGATATATATATATACATATACATACATATATATATATATATATATATACGTGAGTATGTGCACAAATATAGATGTCTAAAAATGATCTTCCACAAAAGTATCCTCACTCGGATAGCGTTCAATTGCTATATCATAATATTTCCAGCCTGTGCACGCACACATACGAAATTGTATACATGTATATTAACTTTTATACACCAAGTTATTCATCTACACACACATACTGTTTAGCTGCCTGGATAGTCCTGCGTTTGTACTCATTCTTATCCTCCTGCTGTGTGATTGTTTGGTTGACATTCGCCTTGATGTCGGTTTCCACTGCTGTAGTACCTGCTTCAGCTTTCGTAGTATTTTCTTTGGGTGTTTCTACTGGTCCACCTCCTGTTGACATGCACATGTACCTGAGCCCTGAGAGGGGACGCAAAATCATCGTGTGCCTTGCAACGATACGTAGCATCTTGAAATAGAAATAGAAATAGATTCACACTCTTACTGACGTCGTTAGATGCGATTGCCGAGTTTAAATAGTGAAGTGTATTTACTTTAAGAGGATGTATATACTACATAGAGCGTGTGAGTGATTAGTAGTTCTTTTTTGGTTTTATGAGCATACTGGAAGTGACCGTATGTCGTTCCATTATTTTGCCTCAGAATTTCGCGTGACACACCGTTTTGCGATAAACGTATGAATTTAACAAATATACGTATATATTCAACGTTTATATCATGATAGTCCTATATGGTTGTAGCTGAATACAGGTGCAGCTTCGATGCCCTGAGCCCTGAGGTTTTTATTAAATTTTGGAAATGTTCTAGGATATCCGTTTTTATTTCAAAATTTAGGTCGCTTTTATATTTTCAACTTTGACCCGTATAAACGTTTAAAAAAAGGTGTATTTTCATGTGTAGCCTTCTGAATCATACTATGGCTCACGTTCAATAATTTTTAAAACGGATTGAGAATATTTGTCAGGGCCCAAGACGTATATTTATTTATTTATATTTTACTGAATTAGCACTGGAATTTAAATACAATTTCAAAATCGAATTCTGGTTTGGATAAATTTAATCAAAATTAGAATTTAACGAAATTATTTATAGATGGACATACTTACAGTATCACAGATACAATGTCGGAATAAGGAATAAACCTTTAAAACAACCAAAATGGTTTTTAAACAAAATTGGGACGATATGTATTTTATAAAAATCTTCGCCGTCATAGTACTCGATTTGTTGGCGGCAAAGTTATACCCAAATATGGGAGGATTTTGAATCGAATACATATGGACATCACCATAATACGTGTCAAAAGCAAGAGTAAATATTTATTGATTTATTTACATATCACAACAGATGATGTCAAAAAGATGCCGCTGCAAGAGGCTGTTCAAGCGTTCATATATGCAAGTGTGCTATATAGTTAGGCCATGTTGAGGTTAAGAGACCTAAGTATATAGGACATGTTCAGGTTAAGACATATAAATAGGCGTTCTACTGGTTTCACCAGAGCGCCAGGTACAAAGCTCGATACCAATGCGATAGTTGATTCTTACAAGTATGCGAATTATATGTCCGTATCTCAACCTACTGCACAATTGGGTAAGTGTACCAATAGTCAATTATGGAACAGGGCAATAAAAAACGCGCACGTGTATGGTTCAAGGATCAACCTTTCAGTGGGATCTAAGAGTGTGCACACGTGTGTACAGTTTCGCACTTACTATGGAAAGGCGTCGACAACATATTCGAAAGAACATAACCAGCAGACAAAGACAGTCTATGACATGCGAAGTGATACGGTTACAAAGCCCTGTAAAGGCATGAGACAAGCTATCGCCAGTGCAATGGTGTGTATAAAATTAATCTTTTTGTGAAGCTAGATATTGACTGTTTGTATCAATTAGTGCAAATTATGTACCGGTCTGTAGTAAAAGTTGGGGTGGCAACAGCTGAAAGTTTACTAAATCAGATCATTTAGATACTAGACCAAACACAGTATAAGTGGCAATGCAGAATTATGCACGGGACCTATGGAACTAGTTTTTTTACCGTGTGTATCAACTTATGCATCCTATACACAATAGTTCTATCAAGTTTTAGATACAGCATTCCTTAGTCACGACTTTGTCACGACTTGACCTTTATACAGATATTAACTCAAAACAAAAGTGCCGCGTGAGCATGGGTCGAACGCATTAATGCACTCTCCTGAATACCAGATTTTGAGCTTTATTTTAAAGAGGGCAGTATTGTATAGGAGTTATATCTAGTCCAGTTGCTTTTCATTTTACAAGTCGGCGGTGTGGTGTTCGAAATTAACACAATGTGAGAGCGTCAGAAACAAACCCAGGTTAGCTTTGTAGCAAGGCGTACAAGTAAGTGATCATCATGTTTGTCGAAAGGCTTATATAAAGAGCCAACTGTGGGTGAATTTTGGCCAAGTATAAATATGCATCTATGACCCCATGATTCGAGCTGCTATTCGCCGATATAATATCATGTCTACACTCACTTTATAAGTCTGAAAACAGTTTATTCTTCTGAAACAGAACAACCGAGCTACAACTTCTCGCTCTCTTGTCACAATACAGGTAGGCGATGATGTGTTTGAGGACGACTACAGTATAAGGTCGTTGGAGGAACGTGTCGCAAAGTTGTGTGGAATGGAGAAGGCCCTCTTCTGCCCGTCAGGAACTATGACCAACCAGCTGGCATTGCGCGTGCATGTGGGCGCGCTGGAGAGTGTGGTGATGGATCACCGAGCGCACATCTTCCATTACGAAGGTGAGGAAAAACACGTATATGTGATTATATGTAGTCATAAACNTACGTATATATATATATATATATATATATTATATATATATATATATATATATATATA